GTTGGGGCCGGTGCTATGGCATAATTTGCTAAGTCTCCGCCTGTGGCACTGGCAACCCATATGGGCACTGGTTTGTATCCTGGCTGCTCCTCTTGCGATTCAGCTCTCTGCTATGGCCTGGAAAGCAGTGGAAGGTGGCCCAAGTGCTTGGGCCCCCTCACCTCATGTGGGAGACCCAGAAGAAGCTCCTGGCTTCTGGCTTCAGATTAGCACAGCTCTGGCATTGCAGCCATCTAGGGAGTGAACCAGTGAATGGAAGACCTTACTCTCTGTCTATAACTCTCTCTCTCAAATAAATAATAAAAATCTCAAAAACAAACAAACAAACAAAAAACATATAGAGTCTCAGGGCCAGCTCTGTGGCGCAGTGGGTTAAAGCCACAGCCTATAGCTCTGGCATCCCATATGGGTGCCAGTTCCAGTCCTGGCTGTTCCAATTCTGATCCAGCTCCCTGCTAATACACCTGGAAAAGCAGTAGAGGATGCCCAAGTCCTTGGGGCCCTGCACCCACGTGGGAGACTCAGATAAAGCTCTTGGCTCCTGGCTTCAGCCTTGCCCAGCTCCAGCCATCAAGGCCATTTGAGGAGTGAACCAGCACATGGAAGACTCTCTCTCTCTGTTTATGCCTCTGCTTCTCTGTAACTCCACCTTTCAAATAAATAAATAAATTTAAAATAAAAAAAGACACAGACTCTCATGATCTAACCACACGCTATGTAAAAGAGACTCAGTTGAGCTCCAAACACAAAAATAAGTCAAAAGGGAAAGGACAGAAAAGAGATATTTCATGCAAATGGTGATCAAAAGAGAACTGAAGTGGCTATATTCACATTAAACAAAAGAGATTTTAAGTCAAAAATTGCTTGGAGATAAAAAAAAGAAATTATATATTAATAAAATGGTAAAATGGCAAATCCACCAGGAAGCTATAAAAACTATAAATATATATGCACCAAATAACAGCCCCCAAATACATGCCTCAAGTAATTTGGAGGGAGAACTAAACAATTTCACAATAACAGTCGGAGATTTCATATCCCAATTTCCTCAATCAGGAACAGAGGCTTCTTACTGATGACCTTTATTCAGCCCAAAGGACACACGCTGCTCTCAGTGCTGCCTGGAGAGAAGGAGTGAGGTACTGCAAATGCAGGCACAGGTACAAGTGCCACAGCAGGTGCTGCTGTCCCATTTGGGACATCGGCATGAGGCACCACTCTGCCACTGAGGCGCTCTCTCTTCCAATCACAAGTCCAGGTTCAACCTCGTCTTCAAATCCCACACGGTTCAAGGGCGATGAACTTCCAGGCCATCTAGCACCAGTTATATCCTGTGCCGCCAAAGCCCGCAGACCCTCCTCTGAACCTGAGTCTCTGGTGAGACCCCCTTCCTCAGAACAAATGCATAACAAGTGACCCTTCTCCCAGCTGCTGGGTGAGCCCCTTCCGATCCCTCCCCCCACCACACACACACTTCCACCCTTCTGCAACAAGACCTCCTGACCTCAGATTGAGGGAAGACCAGATACCTGGCTTTCCCAGAAAGCCCTAGGTAAAATGGGTTCACTCCTCCCCAGCCACCAGTTCTGCGAAACAGGGTGTGAGAAAACATTTGCCAAAGCACTTAACACATGACAGGTTTTATGAAACTCTAATTTCAGGATAAGAGAAGGGAGGTGGCTTGCTGCATTTGTACAACTAGGAAGGAAACTCAAATGACCCTTCACAGACTACAGATGATCAGCTTCTCCATTTTTTAGAAAAAAAAATAAGTATCCTGTACCACAGCTAATTGCCAATGAATAATGCAGACAATGGATATTAGCATCTGAGAACAAGAAGATCAAAGAACTTTGGAGGCACCCAGGACATTTGAATCTGTCACTTGGAATGCAAAATTTTTAATCAAAATTTTATCAACACAGATTAGTGTTTTAAGAGAAAGTATTTTCCAGAACAAACTATTTTATTCAATTTAACTTTATAATCCATTTTCTCTACCGCACAACTAAATTGTTTCTAATTTTTCCTGATATTTTAAGAAATTATTTTCCTTAGGCTCAATTCTAGTTTTTATTTTTTTTTTCAGTATTTTCCTAAATATGTTGCATTTGTAGGTATCTCATCTATACTGAGATGTAACTCACATTCAATTCACTCATTTGAAATGTAGTTTGATGCTCTTTTAGTATATTTATAGAGATACACTACCCTCACCACAATCAACACTAGAATATTTTTTTCAATCCCAAAAGAAACCTCATATCCATTAGCAGTCACTCCTATTCCCCATCAATCCTGCAGCCCTAAAGCAGCCACTAAGTTGCCTCTGTCTACAGATTTGCCTATTCTGGATGTTACATACAAATGGAATCACCCAATATGTAGCCTTTTGTGAATGGCTTCCTTCACTTAGTGTGAGTTGTCAAGATTCATGCATGTGGCAACATGTATCAGCATTTTACTCCCTTTCATTGATGAATATCTTATCACATGTATACACTACATTTTAGTTATTCATTCATTAGCTGATGAATCTGTGCATTGTTTTGCTGCTATGAGCAACGGAGTACAAATTTTTGTGTGGATATATGTTTTTGCTGATCTTGGGTAAACATCTAGGAGTGGAGTTGCCAGTTGGTTGCATTTGAACTTGTCTAACTTTCCTAACACTCTCACGGTGTTTGACACACAGAGAATGACAGAAAGAAAGAGAGAGGCTGCACCTGTTCAGATGTTTTGTCTGAACCTCCTTGGTGCATGGCAGATCCAACAGTCAGGACGAAAGTGACAGCACCAAAGTTATTGCGCCAAACTATCCAACAAAGGGGGCCGGCATTGTGGTGTAGCAGGTTAAGCCACTGCCTGTGATGCCGACATCACATGTGAGTGCTGGTTTGTGTTCTAGCTACTCCATTTCCCATCCAGTTCCCTGCTAACATGCCTGGGAAAGCAACAGAAGATGGCCCAAGTGCTTGGCCTTAGTCACCCATGTGGGAGATCCAGAAGACGCTCCTGTCTCCTGGCTTCAGCCTGACCCAGCTCTGGCTGTTGTGGCCATCTGGAGAGTGAACCAGTGAATGGATGATCTCTCTCTCTCTCTCTCTCTCTCTCTCTTTCTCTCTCTGTAACTCTGACTTTCAGATAAGCAAGTTAATCTATTTTTTAAAAAATCCTACAAAGGAAATGTTTTCTGGAAAAAAAAGTCTAACCTTAATTTAACTGATATTTGAACATGAGAGAACAAAGAAGTTGGCACTCTAGTAAGGACCACAGCACAAAGACCTGGTGACGGGGTTGAATATGGAGTGCTTGGAAAATAAGAGGTAGTAGAAGGCAAGGTTGGAATGACTTGACGGGAATCATATTAGTAAGGGCTTTGGATGGCAGCCTCAGGAGTTTAAGATGGAGGCTGGCACTGTGGCACAGTAGGTTAATTCTCTGCCTGTGGCATCAGCATCCCATGTGGATGCGGGCTGCTCCACTTCCAATCCAACTCTCTGCTATGGCCTGGGAAATCAGTAGAAGATGGCCCAAGTGCTTGGACCCCTGCACCTGCATGGGAGACACAGAAGACGCTCCTGGCTCCTGTCTTTGGATCGGCACAGTTCCAGCCATTGCGGCCATTTGGGGAGTGAACCAGCAGATGGAAGACCTTCTCTCTCCTCTCTCTCTCTCACTGTCTGTAACTCTACTTATCAAATAAGTAAAATCTTTAAAAAAAAAAAGTTTAAAGATGAAATTTTTATAGCTTTGGAGGAGCCACTGAAGATTGTGGATTAGAGACGCTGTCACATAACCAAATCAGTGGGGCGTGATCCCATCAGTGACAGGCAGGTGAGAGCAGGATGGGCCTTAGTGGGAGAGCAGAGAGAGCCATCCCTATCCTCACCAAGCTGTTGCAGCAATTCAGGGCTGAGGCAAAATCTTTGAGGACTTTGAGCCAGCTGGAAGTCAATGGCTTAAATATTGATTCAGTGGGCAAAAGCCACATTAATCATGAGGCCAATTCCCAAAAGGACCCGTGCCTATGTGCAAAGAACTCATCACTGCCCTATTACAGAAATTGATGAGGTCCTTCGGAGAAGATGTTGATGCCAGAGGTTTGCTGCTAATCAAACTGGAATAACAAGTTGGAGGACAAGGCAGGCTCTTTGCCAGCTGGGCAAGGAGCTGGCCCCAGAGGCACAGAACACTGCAGTGAAGCACCCTGTCCCTGCTCCGGGAGTCTGACAAAGACAGCCACCGAGGCCAGGCCATGCCCTTCAGCTGCCATCCGGAGGCTCCAGTCCTTGGCATGCCTTCTCTCTGGACCTCTGTCAGGGATGACCAGGGAAGTAGAATTCAGCCCAAGGTCCACGCCGGAGGGAGCAGGTAAGAGCTAGGAACTGGGTGAACAGGGCTGAGGTGACACGGTAGAGAGTCCAGCAGAGGCACTGGCTTGGAGAGACAGCAGCGGATGGTAATAAAACAGTCTGCAGAGACAATCATTTGTGTTTGTCTAAGGCTCCCACTACGCTCCAGAAAAGGAGGCGTGGGCTCAGCTTTCTCGGCGGCTAAAATGTTCTCCCCTTCCCCCTCACTTCGGCAAAACAGCCATCACTACCTGAAAGCCTCGTTCTGACGTTCTGACCACTGTATGGTCACGGTGGAGTCTCCCCCAGCTGTCCCCTTGCTGACCCAGAGGCGAAGGCAGACGCCTCCAACGATAAACTAGACAGACCAGCGCTTCTAGGGAGACCCAAGTCTGCAATGTGCCCTGCTTTGGGAAAACCGGCAACAAGTCGGATGCTTTCCAACTTTCTGGAAGCCGTCCCGTCGCCAGCCCAGCCCTCAGTGTGCGTTAGGCGCCGGGTCCGGGGACCCCTGTTTCCCAGCCGTGGAATGTTCTGTGAGTGGTAGAGGCTCAGGGCCAGAAGATATACCTGCCCCGCGGTGGACCGACGCTGGCCCCTCCACTCTGGATAGACTTTAGCTCTCAGCTTTTCTGGTCGCAGAAGCCGGACAGCCCAGCACTGGGGAGGGAGCGGTGCGGGGAGGTGCAGTCCGTCCCCTAGGAGTATCTAAGCGCAGTCACCATCACAACGTTTGTTTTCTGTCATATCAGGGTCCCAGTTCCCACAGCCCGTAGAAGAGGGGAGGCCAGAAAAAGAGCGCAAGCTACCGCGTGCACCGAGGGCGCTCGCGGCCACCGAACTTGGCTGCCCCAGCCAAGCGGGCTCGTGGCCGGTGGAGAAGCGCCCGCAGCGCGCGCAGCACCTGCCGTCCTTCCCCGCCGCGGTGGGGCCGGGAGCGGCCATTTCCTCGGGGCGTTCCAGAGCGCCCCCTTCCCAGCACCCGCTTCGTGGGGACTCGCTAGTGAGCTTCCCCTACACCTCCTCTACCCTCGTCCCCTCTCCCAGGGTCTTATCCTCGTCCTGGGCTGGAGGGGATCAGAGAGCTGGGGTGGCCAGAGGAAACCTGGCAGCCCGCCCGGCCCGGGCGCCTGCTCCTCCTCCGGTGGCACCGCCGGCCCCCACCCGCGCCAGACTCCGCCGCGTCTCTTCCGCAGCGTCCCCACCCTGTCGGCACCCTGCTCCAAAGCCTGCACCTGCCTCGGGGCGGGGGCACCGCGGGAGGCCAAGAGGAAGACGGGGAGGGCTTGGGAGCTCGGCGCAGCGGGTGAGCAGCCTAGTCCCGCGCCGCCGGCCCCAGCTGCCCCGGCGCCGCCCGCGCCCCGGCTGCGGCACCCATGCGCTGTCCGCGGTGCTGACGCGGACGCCCGCCCGCCGGGCCGGGAGGGGGAGCAAACGCCCCAGCTCCCCCAGAGGCACCCTCTGCGTCCTGGCGCTGCGCTGGGATGCAGGGCAACGGAGTGAGCGGAGGGAACTTCAACTTCGGACTGAAGCCCGAGAATCCCGTGTCGGGGATTCGCTAGGTGCGACCCCAGCCCTGAGACCGCAGAACGCCCTCAAGTTACACAAAGTTTCCCGGCGGCTTGAGACAAGGGAGGGATCCCGGAGCCGAGGGGCAGGGAGGATGAGAGAGCTCGCTGGCGAGGTGGCAGCCAGCACCGCAGTCGGACACCTTCCCGGGCGGCCCGCATTCGCGCCTCCCCAGCGGCCCCGAGGCGTCGCCGCAGCCCGACTCTCCACCCTCCCTCCCTCCCCAGCTCACCCCTCCCCGACACCCCGCCCCGGGCGCCAGTGACTCCGCCTCTCTGTGCCGGGCGCCTCTCCGGCTGGAGCTGGGAAGGGAGCGCTTCCCTGGACTCCGCTCCGCTCCGAGGCTCCGAAGCCGACGCCGCCAGCTCAGCCCCGGGGGCGGGAGCAGGACTGCCCGCGCGGCCTGCGCCGGAGAGACGCCGAGCCGGGAACGCCTCATGGGACGCCCCCGGGGGCCCTCTCCGCGCCCCGCTGCCGCGTCGCGGTCCTAGGCGTCCGGGCTCCACGGCCCGCCCCGCCCGCAGCCCGCGGCCTGTCCGGAGAGGAGTATGAGGCCCGGGGCCCCGCGGACGCCGGCCACAGGGCGGCAGGGGCCTAGCTGCGGAGCCCCGCGCCCGAGGGCGGCGGGTAAGGAGTCACGGGAGCCGACGAGGCGTCGGGGCGCGGACAGGAGCGCCCCAGCCCGGGCGCCCGCTGGGCCGCGGAACCCGTGTGTGGCCTGAGCGCCGGGGAGGAGGCGGAGGCGCGCCGCCGTCCGGGCTCTGGGGGAGACGGCGAGGGGCTCCTCAGCAGCCCCTGAGCCCTGGCCACCATCCTCACGCTCCTGCTCCCGCGGGGGGATGTCGCGGCCCGGGCCCCAAGCGCCACCCCGGCCCCGGGGCTGAGCTCCGGACCATGTCCTCCCGCAGCCCCCGGCCCCCGCCCCGCCGCTGCCGCCGCCGCCTGCCGCGCCCCTCCTGCTGCTGCTGCTGCTGCCGCCGCTCGCACCTCAACGAGGACACCGGCCGCTTCGTGCTGCTGGCGGCGCTCATCGGCCTCTACCTGGTGGCGGGCGCCACGGTCTTCTCGGCGCTGGAGAGCCCGGGCGAGGCAGAGGCGCGGGCGCGCTGGGGCGCCACGTTGCGCAACTTCAGCGCGGCGCACGGCGTGGCCGAGCCGGAGCTCCGCGCCTTCCTCCGGCACTACGAGGCCGCGCTGGCCGCCGGCGTCCGCGCCGACGCGCTGCGTCCGCGCTGGGACTTTCCTGGCGCCTTCTACTTCGTGGGCACCGTGGTGTCGACCATAGGTGAGCGGCACGCCGCGTGCGCGGCTTTTCCCCTCCGCGTCTTTCACCTGCCGCCCGGTCCCCTGCTCCGCGGCTCGGCCCGCACCCGCAAGGCTCGTGCCTGCCCGAGGTGCCCCATTGCCGACTTTGGTCCCGCGCGCTCCCCTCCGCGCGCGTGCCCCTCCTCCTTCCGCATCTCTCCTGGCTTTGGGCGCGGGAGGTGGCCGGAGAGCCCCATCTCTGGCGCTGCCCCAGCGATGACTTGCCAGGCAGTGTGGCCGAAGCGGGGGATCCTCACCCAGGTGCCCGCGCTCCAGAGCTCGCCGGCCCCTGACCTGAGCTCCGTGCACTTGGCTTCTCCTCTGGGGGCGAACGTGCAGGACAGGGGCCGCTGGGCCTCCGTTTCCTCACCCAGGTCGTTTTGAAAGCCCTCTGTGCCCCGGCGCCCAGCGCTGTTTCCTCTGCCTTCCCACGCCCCTGCTCTTTCATCTTTGACCTTTACCCCCGGGGAGGGGGAATCGCTTCTCCCACCTTGCCTCTTCCCAGTGAAGCCCGGACTGCAGCGCCGCTGTCCTGCGCCCTCCCTGGGTGTTCTGCCCCCTCCCTGGGTGTTCTGCCCCAGTCTCCACCCCCGCCTCTCCTCCGTTTTCTCGGTCGCGGTTCGGGTTCCCTGGCCACTTTTCCCAGCCAGTAGTGGCGCCAAGGGGTTGCCTAGAGAAGCGATAGCTCCCTTGTATTTCCCATCATCCCTTATACTTTTGGTATCCGCAGTTGATGTTTTCCCAACCTTGCCAACCCTGCTATGTGGATGCCCGGCCCCCCCCACCCCCCAGTCTGCCGCTTCCGTAGAGATTCCGGAGCCAGGAGCCCCCGCTGCTCCCCAGCCCACCCCTTCCTTCTTTTTTCCTCTCCTGCCACTCACCTTCCGCCTCCTCACCAGTCCTTTCCCTGGGCCCTGGGGGTCCTGTGAAATCCAGTCCGCAACCAGCCTGCCCCGCTACTCACCTGGATGGAGTGCAGAAGGAATGCAGCCTCAACGCTTTGGCGGCACTCTATGTCCCACCCACTCCAGTTTCCAGTTCGAGGCTGGGGGGATGCACCTCCTGTCCAGCAAGGCGCTATCTCCTGGTGGTGCACTTTTTTGAAGCGGGGGAGGGTGGGGGGTGGATTTGCTGGGCTGAGAAGTGAGAGATTCCATGGACACACCTTCCATGGTGGGCTCTGGTATGGTTTGGTATTCCAGCTCCGAGACAGGCGCTTGGACTCACCGACTAGTGTGAGCTGCTGTGGATGGCTGCTCGGAGGCAGGGAGAAAGGCTGGAGCGGTGTTCTGGCGTGAGCTAGCGCCGTCTCTCTGACTGTATATGTAGAGTCTGTGCAAGGCCTTCCTTGCCTTCAATGATTTTTTCATGTGTCATGCTTGATCTGATGATTTTAAATAGAAAGGCAGATACGGCCCAAGTCCAAAGCACACACAAATTGGATAAAAATACCTTTAAAAGCTATATCATGTTGTTATGGTGATTGAAGATATAAAATGACCCCCCCTCAAAAAAAAATCCCCTTTTAAGAGCTGCATCAAGTTGCTATAGCAACTCGAGTTTTTTTAAATGCTTTAAAAGTACTAAAGATGCTTAGTCCCGGAGGATGACGTCATGTGCTCATAGCTCATTACTGATTTGTGCTCTTCGTCTTGTAAGCACACCCTCTTGCTAAAGGCCAGCCATGCACATATGGGTGGGTACAGCGTTCTGCCCTGGTAATGTGTGTGCTGGCTTCCTACAGGCTACAGGGGAAGTGCTGTCAGTGTCCTTGACCCCTGCAAGCCGTGAGAGCATCCACACAGGCTCCCATTGCCGTGACCTGTGGTCTCTGTGCCTCTCTGATGAGCTCCCGTCAATCTTTCACACACTGCCCCTTTGGAGGCAGTGATCCCAAACTGGCCACAGCTTCTAAGGCTTCTCTCTCAGCCTTTGCACAGAATCAAGTGAGTACGTTGGTACATTGTCCCATGTTCCAGCCTTTAATCTACTGGCAGGTTGGCTATTCTGTAGTCAAGCAGAAAGGAATGCTGTTCTTTCCTGATCTGTGCTTTCAGATGTAGGCAGGCAGTATAGGCGACCTCCACTGAAGAGTGTGGCCTTGTCCTGAATCATCCAGCACATGGTTTCCAGAGTCTGCAGGGAAAGTTCTGAACCAGCCTATAGACAGCTCAGGGTTGAACTAGCCCCCTGCAGGGATGGCGAGACAGCCACACGGTAGGAGTGGCGCCTGCCTGGCTCTCTGGGGCAGTGGTTGAAATTGGCCACTCTTTTTTTAAAAGATTTATTTATTTATTTGAAAGTCAGCGTTACAGAGAGAGAGGGAGAGACAGATCTTCCATCCATTGGTTCACTCCCAAAATGGCAGCAATGGCTGGGGCTGGGCCAAGCTGAAGCCAGGAGCCAGGGAGTTTTTCAGGTCTCCCACATGGGCCATCCTTTGCTGCTTTTCCCAGGCCATTAGCAGGGAGCTGGATTGGAAGTGATGCAGCCGGGACATGAACTGGCACCCACATGGGATGCTGTCGCAGGCAGCAGCTTTACCTGCTGTGCCACAGCACCAGGCACTGAAACTGGTCACTTCCGTCCGTCAGATAAGTCCCCAAGTGCATGATTTCCATATCCGCCTTCTCTTTGCAAAAGGTAGCTGGATGGGATTTAAGGGAAGGCCTACCTATGTCAGTTTCTCATCTGCTTGCCTTCTTCCTTTCCCTTAAATGCTGAGTCTGCAGAGACAATTATTATTACTGCTGCTGCTTTTTATGGGTTTGCCAGCTCAGGGAGCCACAGCTCAGTCCATAATCCTCAGTCAGGATTCCCCGCTGACACCTCATCTGGTGCACAGGACAACGAACATGTACTCAGTTTCACTGGATCAGTGACGATCACAGTGTGTGTGCAGCAGTGTGGAATTCAAGGGACCAAAAAGATTTGCTTCAACTATGAAGCCAGTGTCAGCTCACGTCTGTTTTGTGTGGTGTACCCACAGCTCAATGACAACATCTAGACTTTGGTGTAGAAAGCCCTTCCTTCCTTCCTTCTGCAAGTAGGAGGAGGTCTTGCGTGTGTCAGGTCCAGCGGTGTATTTTGAATGGCTGGAGCTTACTCTACCTGACAAAAGTTAAAGTATGTGCCAACGTGGGTAGCTGGACTGCAGCATTAGCAGGCTTCATTTCATCTAAAGATGACCACAATAAGAAGAGGGCCTTTAGTTCGATCCCGTGTGGCATAGGGCTAAGGGACTTGTCCAGTGTCACATGGTTAATGATGGGTTCAGGGAGGTCTAGAATCCAAGTCCTGTGGTGTACGTCCCACCATTTAATTGTTGGGAACATTCTTGTCTGAGACGGAAGTATTTAATGATGGTGTATGTGTATCTAGGGGTATGTCTGACACCAAGGCAGGAACAAGCCTGTTGGTCTGGCCGGTAACTGATTAAGTGGAGAGAAAACTTGAAGGATCAAAGAAATCCTACAGTTTAGGCAGGTTTAGAAGCACCTGAAAGGTCGGAGACAGCTGAGCTAGCAAGAGCCAGTTTGAAAAAAGTCCGAGACAGGGGCGCTGGCAAGTAGGAGACTTTCTGGCAAATTCTGACTCAAGGACAAGGGCCAGTTGCTTCCTACCTTCTTTGGTATCAGTGTGTGTGTGCGTGTGTGCACGCTCATATTCTGAGAACATTAGTGTGCATAGGGGACGGGAAGAAGCAGCAGCAATGGGTCTTCCACCAGCAGGAGACATAAAGATTCAGGAGTGGCTGTGTGTACTCAAGGTGAGATGGAACACCATGGAATTTGTCTTGACATTTGGGCGCCGTATTCAGAGCTGGGCAGTTGGCAGTTGTGTCAACACATCTGTGTCCACACAGCACCCAGATCCGGCGGGAAAATTTGCCATGATTATTCAGCAGTAGTTGAATAGCTCAAGCAAATGAGAATCCGCTCTGTGCTCTAAATTATTCATACAGCCTACTTCCATGGAAGTGAAGTCCCAGGTAATTATTATTTGTCCCATTCACACTATGTGACTTACTCCCTAGGGGCTGAAATCCAGTTTGTTTTAATGCGACAGCACATATTTATTCGTTCCTGCATTTAACAAGCATCCAAGACAACAGCGCTGTTGTGGACGCCTGTATGGCCTGTGGCACCATGGGTCCCTGCATCTGCTCTGGTGACATGAATTCCTGAAGATAAAGAGGGTGGCCATTGTTCCTTCTGCGCCAAGCAGTGTTCTAGGAGGCAGTACTCTGGCTCAGAGATACTCAGAGTGAGCCATAAAGTATTAATCCATCATTTCACATCCTAAAGGATGTTTTATTGGTTTACTTTGAAAAGATTAAAAGGAAACTCTCCCTGGGGTTTTAATTATGCATCTGCTGTCAGATTTACACATAGAAGAGAACATATTTAAAAATCTTTCTCAAATGGCAGCTTAATATAAACAGAAATATTTTTGCTTCCTTTTATTGGGTTTTCTGGCAGCGTTTTGTAGCTATAAAGCTAAAATCACGCTGTGTAGACGGGATGGTGTAGATATGAGAGCTGTCACTTTTGGCACTGCATAATTTAGCTTGCTACTTTCAGAATTAAGCACACTTAATTATTCAGCCATGAGATTAGTAACAAGTCCTAACCCCCCCCCCCCCCAACTCCTTTGAACATGGATTTTTAGAAAATGTTTTTGCCACAAAGGAAACTGAGACATTCTAAGATTGAAATGTCACTGCCACATTTACATTTGGGTCTGACATGCAGGTCGTGCTGCTGGCGGTGTGGTTCCAGTAGCTGGAGTGACGTATATTACCCAGGAGGGCAGCAGTGCCTTCTCTGCTATTTCTCCCTGTCACTGTTTTTTGTTTTTATTGAAAGATGATGTTATAATAGCACAGGAAAGATATTTGGAAAAAAACATATCATTGAATGTGGGGCTTCAGATGGCGAGTGGGCAATGCACATCCATGCACTACTCCAGCCTCAGCAT